ACGGCTCTCTCTCCGACTGGTGCCAATCAAGTGCGTCTGTCAAGGCACTCTTCCAAAGCAACCTCTCTCTTCACATCCTCGGCGTGCGACTGCAGGCATGTCGATGGTCGTCGTTGGACAGACGAACGTTCGCCTCGTCTCCCACCCCCTCACCCCCCACGGCAACAGGTCACCTCGAAGAGTTGTCCGTCCCAAGCCGCGCCTTTGGCTGATGCGACAGGTCAAGTGGTGCGCTCATCTCGGGCCACATGCACAACCCAAAAGGTGTGAAGCATTCGTCGAAATCCAACCCCTTTTTCAACGCCATTGAGCCCGAGGCGACGGACGACAATGCTCGAGAAAACCATCCGCTGCTTCGAGCTGGCTTCACAACTTTTGCATACATTCGCAAGTTGGCGTCCCGTCTCCGGGGGTTCAATCTTGGCGCCATCTGCCATCGGACACGCAGCCACTCGAAGCCTCTTCCAGTTCGAGTCCCGCGCGTCGGACAGACGGTCACAAGTCCACCTATGCACCGCGCCAGCGGACAAAATGGGGCCGGCGAAAGCGTCAACTCTCGTCGGCCGTGGCAACCAGACATGCGTGACCCGTTAGCGCTCGCATGGCCGCATGGCAACGGACAGTTTGAGCGCGAAAGAGAAGATTATTTGAGCAAAAAAGACAATTCACACGAGCTCACCCGAAGCACCTGGTCAGGGCGGCCTTGCCGAGAAGACGTCGACGGCAACGACGACGACGACGACGACAACGACGGCGACGGCGACGGCGACGGCGACGGTGACGGAGGTAGGCAATCCACAAGTGGAACAGACGAGATTGGGCCAAGTTTGGCGTCACACCAACGCAAAGGTGGGCACACGCAACAGGACAAGAGTAGAGAAAACAGACAATGCCAGACGTAACAAGTTGCTGTGGTCCGAGCGTCGCGGCGAGATCAGTTCACCTGACCATTCAGTCGCGCAAATTGGTTTGTTATAGCCTAGACAACTCCCGAGCCTGTCGGCGGAACTTGTTGGGGCAACCGAGTGGTCGGCTATTTCCGCCACCAGCCAATCAAAACTCGAGCGTGGCCACAAATGTCGCGGACAGACTTGACGAACTGGACGCTGATTGGCTCATGCCTGGCAGGCCTGTGATTGGCTAATCGGCTGCCTGAACTGGTATCTTCCTCATTGCCGCACGCATCGTAGCACGCACATGGCACACGCACAGGCCGAGGAGAGTAGACAAAGACGTGCCAGCACACACGGACGGCCTGCGCTTGTGTGAGGAGAGTTGGTTGTGCACACGCGGCGGTTGTGTTTGGCGCTTGTGGTTGTGTCTCAACGCCGCGTGTTTGTCGACCGGCACGACGACGTTGGGGCAAGAGGCCATTTTCAGCAAAAAACGCTCAACAACTCGCTGTTTACACGCTTGGAAACAGTCAGTTTAGTTGAAAAGGTCCCATCGCTCCTCCACAGCCATACAATGAGATGGTTGCAACTGAAATAATAATAATATAATGGAAAAAACAATTGATGATATTTATTTGGATAGATCTTGAATAAACACTAGACTCCA